GGATAATGAAGAGTAACATATTTATCAGTATAGTCTATTTAGCTCCAAATGAAATAATTCACTACATTATTATTTAAAATTATTTTATTTCTTTAGCAATTCCTCCAATGACTCCTTCATCAGAAATCTTATTAGAAATAGCATAAGAAATTATTAGAAGTAACATAATTTCTAATTACTCTCACAACAACATAATTGATGTGTATAGTAATAATAGTTACAATCTCTCTGTGCTGCTGTATTACTTCACCGATATTCAGCAAGGAAAAAAATAGTCAGTTGGTCTTTTTTTTTTTTTTTTAAATTCAAGCAAACCACTAAAGCAAACCCCACTCTGACCCCAGCAAGAGCAGAACCATCTCCCCAGCACTGAGGTCACACAGTACCCTCAGGCTCCTGCATCAGCTGGGAAGACACTGTTCCCTTTACCAAGAGAAAAACTCTTACATTTCCTGCCAAAACTTATGCAGTTGAGATGGATCCTGTCTAAAGTGGCATCTGAACTACATGAGGCAAAACCAAGACTGTATTTATGTGTCAGCTCTCAGAGCTGTGAAACAAAGCAAACATTCAGCTTTGCAGGCTGCCCCTACCTGAAAGTTGTATCTGTGGGAACAAACAGTGAGTTGTTAAGATAAAAAACTTACTCAAAGAGCAGTTTGAGTTACAAACTGGCATAAAAATTAACCCTGAGGCAAATTCTATAAAATAAACACACTACAGGTGCAGTATAGGTTATAGTTGCTTATATTAAGCTACAGCACACACAACTACATAGGATTGAAATGAAACCAAGTACCTGTATTAAATCACTGTATATCTTTCTACATACAGATATCTAATACATCTATTCAAGATCCATAAAATTATACTGGACAAATAACTTGAATTGAGAAAATCAGTATATAGATATACACTCAGTATTTCTCAGTCATTACATAAAATACCTGCCAGTAGTACATTCCACCTGAAAAAGAAAGACAGTAAGATACAGCAAGCTAGAACAAACATTGCCCATAAACTCACCTATGCAATATCTGGAAGTATATCCTTTCAGGAAAAAAATCTGAGTTGATTAACCATTGCTAAAATTGCTGCCTTTCCTTCATTCTCCTAGACTTACTGGTGATGTCTAAAAAAATACTTTAGGTGTTTATTTTCATG